TTAGCTCTGTGCCTGCAACATCCTTTGTAAAAGAAAGCATTTTAGGTTCCGATTGAGTGCTTTAGGCTGGTGGACTGCTCCAAGAAGTTCGGCAACGAGGGCTGCAGCGGAGGCCTCATGGACAACGGCTTCAAGTACGAGGAGCAGGCCCCTGTGTGCACGGAGGACCGCACCCTTTGCAAAGGCCTCGCAAAAAGCCCTAACGTACGTGTTGGTATACTTTGCAAGGCTTTTGCTAGGCCTGCTCACCCAATGAAGCCCAAATGAGTAGTATTTATTTGGGGATACTATGGTACCCAATATAGAGTAAGATTATATCCTCCTTTGGGGTATAGCATTTTATATAAGGAATGTAATCTTACTAGGTTTAACCACAAAAAAGCACTACTCAAATGAGCGCTTGGCGAAGTTTCATGTAGACTTCATGAGTCAGATGCGGCAACGCAGTGGCGTTGCTGGTCCTTTCCGAGCATTGAGCGCAGTCTTGATGAAGGGACATCTCCGAACAATCTCCTCCGGCAATTGTTCGACCCCCTCATCCAAAGTAATGTTAACCTGTCAATAAAGAATACCCACAAAGTTTTGTGCGATTTTGATGTAATGCCAAGCTCAATATTGCCCAGCGACCTTCCTTGTAGATCCTTGTAGGATTTGGGGCTCTGAAGTTGCTAGAGGACACATGTAATACTCCGAATTCTGTGTTGCCCAGCGGTCATCTTTCTTGTCATCCTCCTTATGAATGGTAGTTTAACATCCTTACGCATTTTCCAGGTAAGGAAGTGCGCCAGTTGAGGGCTCTTAAGAAGGAGAGTGTGAATACAAGGAAGAGCCCTCAGAAGGTGGATCTCGTAGGTGAAGGGATGAAAAGGTATTTGGCTCATGCTAGCTCGCAAGAGGGTTGCCCGCACTGTGCTGAGCCAGTGCAGTGCTTGCGAGGACAGCTACCCATACCTGGCCAAGAACGGCATTTGCAAGGCATCCGGCTGCACTGTGGGCATCCCTGCGCACGGCGTCACCGGCTACAAGGACGTCAAGGTTGATGACGAGCAATCGCTGATGGATGCGGTCTCCAAGCAGCCGGTGTCCGTGGCCATCGAGGCATGTTGATATCCCACATCCCCTGTAGAGTCTACACGTCGTAGAGTCCTTGAAGACCAATTTTTGGGTGCCATGCCTTTCGTGAGATAGCCTCGCTTCGTGAAGCTACGGTGGAGGCAACAACTTCGAAGTGGCGGATGAAAGGTAATGTAAAACTAGGTGTGTGCTGCACATTTCCTCCACTTATAAATATTTTGCAAACATACCAAGAGGGTAGGAAATGTGATGGCTACGGTATGGGCATATGGCTATTTGGTAGGGCTTTGCTATTTGGAATATTTGGATTCAAAGAGGTTGTTTCCACGGGCCATCGCGGGGATCTTGCCTGAAGTGGGTGGTGGTGGGCAGAGCTCACTTAGAGGTACGAGGACTGGTAGCGGTAGAGGGCCAGATTTTGGGTGTGGGGTCAGAAGTGTTCTGACAGAGAGGACCGCCCTGTTGAAGCAGCTACGGGAAAAGATTGTGTGTTCTTCATGGGCTGTACGTGCCAGGCATGGGGATATTTTTGGTCCCATAGGCAGAGAGGGTCCAAGCTGAGTAGTATTGTAGACAGGGATGCTGTCGCCTCCAGTGTGTGAGTTTCTCAAAATGATCTTTAGCTGAGCCCATGGAGAGCTGCCCTCTCTTCATTTCTAGGGTGCCTAAGGGCAAACACAGAAAAAACGTTTTTGTTTTGCTCTGAGTTGTCAAGCTTTACAAGAAGAATCTTGTTTCACCCGTTCCAACTGCTAGTTCGATGCCGTACACGCTTAGAGGCTGACCAGATGGCCTTCCAGCTGTACAAGGGCGGTGTCCTGAGCAAGACCTGCGGCACCAAGCTGGACCACGGCGTCCTGGTCGTAGGCTACGGCACGGAGGCTGGCACGGACTACTGGCTGGTAAAGCTCTTCAGCTGCATTCATTTGAGCTGCGCATCTGTGGCATGTGAGAGGCAGTAGGCTACATCCACGTAGTGGCATACAGAAGCATAATCAATCACAGCATTGTGCGCATTCTCTTGAGGAACAGCTGGGGAGCCAGCT